GACCAGAATATGTTAAGAAGGACTGTTTATATTTCTATAAAGAAGGCTTACAGAATATCTGCAAGTCGTCTGAATTTGACGAATTTGACAAGTTTGCGGCGAAAAAGCTGATTGATACTTACAAAGAGGATAAACGGAAATGTACAAAATTGCTTAATTCTCACTCGGCTAGGATGGCTATTCTCCAGAATAGGGTAAGGATCTCGTGTTATACTTTTTTACCAAGCTGTTTAGCTAAAAAGGCTATCAAATTGCTAGTTTTCATTGTTGGTTAGCACTGCGAAGTCTGCGAATGCCACAATAAACGCGACGTTCACAGAAGCTGATGACTCACTACGTAGACTTGAAACACCAAAGAATATTACAAGAGCAACGGGTCATTCTTGTAAATCACCAGATCAATTCGATACATCACCAGATCAATCGGAAATTGTTCCAAGACGTCTTTTTAATCAAGCTGAATTGGACTTTTTTGTTGCGGGCCCACAAAGTAGCAAACGTAATCACGATTCTGAAGAAGGAGATGACACTGAAGATTACAGCGCGGATCAAACTATCACTGGAGGTAAAAATATTTCTTGGGTTGTAGACGGTCTTGACATTCGAAAAAAGTTCACAGAGTATCAGCTAGAAACAAAGTTACCGAGAACCAAACCAGAGTACTATGACGTAATTTTTTTCGATGCTCTAGATAAAAGTTGTTTTTTAGAGACACTGGAAGAACATACGGTTGCGCAAATGCTCAATGATATAACAGAGGAGGAGAAAGAAACGTCAAACAATATAGAACAGGAAATTAAATCGTTATTAAGTGAAATTATTTCTCGTGATATCAGCATGTCTAAAAAGAAACTTAAGCAGTGGAAAGGACCAAATGAACCATCATTTGAAAGTGAATTTGCGGTACACTTTGTAAATCACATGTGAGTCTTTACCTACGTATATTTGTTTTCTAATAAAATATAACTAATCATGATTTGTACAGGATAGAGCTGATGGAAGACACAAATTTGCTTCTTGAATCTATGTCCGAAGGAACTTACATTGTCAGTGTATTAGGACCAATTATCAATAAACTCTTTATAAAAAATAAAAAGGGTTGGCGCGTTAAATATGGCGAAACTTGTCTCAAAGCAAGTGCCAAAGACTGCAATTCACAGAAGGAAGATGACGAACGCAGATCTGCTGGAAGGAAGATCGATGCAATTATTACTTTGAAAGAGGAAGACGAAGAATTTTCAGTCGTTGAAGTAAGTGGCCCTCCATCAAAACGGGATTGGACACATTTTAAAGGCGATCGGATGAAGATTGTAAAGATGCTAAAGACCTTGATAAATCGATTAGCTGAACTTCGCCCTCGTTCTGATATTAGAAAAATTAAGCTATACGCAATGCAGTCGTATTGTAAGTCTTTTATTTGTAATTTTGCTTGTTATTTTCGTATTTCTAACTTTGACATTCATAGTACATGAGATTATTATTTATGAATTCCGACTTAAATATTCTGAGATTTACACGATGAAAGAAATTTTAAGATTTTCCTTTCCAAAGACGTGGAAGGATATGAAAGAGGCTTACGATGTTGTAATGGACTTACTAAAATACGAAGTTTGTATGAATTACAGTTTGTAAAAAAAAATCAAAATATCAATATGGGAACTGATTATTTTCATAAATTAGCGTTTACTATCTTCAAGCTCGGAAGGGATACAAGAATTTTTGTGGCATGAATGCAAGGATTCTCAAAAAATGACCACACGAATGATTTATTCTCCTGGTAGACGCACTAAGAAAGCACGAACTACTTAAAACTCTTGCAGTTTAGTTTTTTTTTCATATTTTGCATGTAGTTTATCAAACAAAAGATCATTTGCAAAATTAGCTAGAAATTACCTTTTTAATGTTGCTAGTAGAGCTAAGATTTCAGTAACTGTTGCAAAAAATAATTGTATGATGTTTGCATGGATTTATTATGATATATGTATATATATGTGTACTTTTCTGCTAATGAAATTTGTGATTAAAAAATGATTTACATCTCCTGAAGTAGCATAGCTTCGGAGTGGATTTATATTTGCGATCATATTATTTATAAAACATGAAACTTCACAACTTGATGCTCAGATTTAAAATCATTTGAATTTTACATACACGTGTTTAAAAAATTCAAAGATCATTTATTATATTTTTTTCATAAGTATTACAGGAGGAAAGCCTATGTAAAATAAGAAAATTAAAATGGGTAGTGGTGTCTCAAGGGAGAAATAATGCATAAATATATGCCTGCCCGCCCCTAGACGTCTTTACATAGTAAAAGAATGGCAGTTCCTTCCCACTACTTCGCATTATTATTTTCACTACTCTGCATTATTATTTACACTATTACTATTTACTATTTATCCATCTCATAATTAACATTACTATATCATATTTTGGATTCCCTTCACCATAATAAAAACTTTTCACAGTACCCTTCCCAATCTTTTCTCCAATAAGTTGTCGAATTTCACGTCTCACAGTTTCAAACATATAATCCAAACTATCTCCCTCCCTATTCGAATTAAAAACTCGCTTAAAATGGTTCCTATTTTCTTCAAGAGATAAATCAGATAATTGACTAGAAGAACTTTTGCTACTAGAGGAATGGTTGGCCACACTCAGCTAATCAAATTCGACCTAAAGTCTTTAGCAATTGCATAACGTTGGATCATTTCATTTCAGAGAGCTTCAATAGAGGCTCTGACCAAATTGAATTCAGATGAAATGTTGCCAAAATCATTACAGCAGGCTTCTTTGATATTATCAAGTCTTGTGGTCATATTATTGACCATCGATAAAATTTTCTGTGCCTCAGAGGCATAACCAGCATCACGAGAATTGATTTTAGCAATTTTTCCAGTAAGTTTCTTATTAAGTTCATTGTTATTTCTCACAAGCTCTGCAGTGAAAGTAGAATTAACTTCAGAAAGGCGTGCGAAAAGTTTGTTGGCGATTCTAGTGTTAACTTATATGCTAAGTTTTTTGTAGACATCATTAGAATTCTTTCGATTTCCGCAGTAATACTTCCATTACGTGAAGAGAGATCATCTACGATTTTAGTGTTAATTTTATTCTTGATTTTAGTGATCTCTACAGTAATAGACGTATTGATTTTTATATCACGAGCGGAGAGTTCATCGGAGATTTTTTGTTTAAAAATCATCCACATGGCAATGATTTCCATAAATATTACTGAAATAACGAACGAAAAACAGTGGATAAGGCCAAAAATGGCATGCTTCCCGAAGAATTGAATAATGTCAAACTGAACATGATGTAAATAGAGTGATGCGTAGTAATTTTATTGAGTTTATTGATGGATCAAATCTGTTTTTTAGATAGTAACAATCTTTTTATAATATACAATTTTCTTGCGTAAATACGCTGGGAAAAGGTTTATTTTATACTGTATGCTTACTATGTGTGAAAAAAGAATTTAACCTGATTTAATAAAATTATGTTGCTTTATTATGTGTATTTGTTATAACTACACTTTTCATAATTACGTTACTCATAGATGCCTAATTGTTGAAATAACAATACATAATGCGCTAACAGTGTGAAATCGGTATTATGAATACTAATAAAATACTGAGAAATTTGCTGTTTATTGATAAGATCGCGTAAGTTCATCTGTCAATCTGTGAGAGATAGCTTACCCGCTAGTATTTCTTTTTTCAAATTAATGAGAAAAAAGGTAGCCCTTATTCGTGTTCCATATAAATCTACTAATGACCCATAAATAGAAATTTGTTTTATTATGTAGAATGTGATTAGAGATATACCTCTTACATTTCATAGGATCAAGATCTGTAAATCGGTAGATTAAGAGGCGCAATTTCCATTCTTGTCTCATTCAACATCAGGAATATCAGATTGACTTGCATAATGCTAATTTAAAGATTTGTAATATGTGTAAAATGCGCATTTAACAATAATGCTTAAATGAAAATCCGCTTGTAAATAGCGGTTTTATGACAAATAATTTAATACTAATAGAGTAACACTGTATCTCAAAATTTACCATTTATTCTCAGTACCCCAGAATAGGAAGTTTAATTGTTCTCATTCCCTTTCCAATTGATTATATCAAAAAAGGAAAATTATCAGAATAATCGTTCATTACATAGCATATTATATGTAATTTGGATGAGCTTTCAAAGATCTGTAAATTATTGATTTTAATCCATTTTTGATTCTTTTTTACGATACCCTGTCTTACAATCAGCAGGATATTAGTAATTCAGAACTGCGTAATGAGTGAGATAAAACATACCAGAACATTAGGGAAAGTTCATCAGTATAGCAACACAAAAATAATTCTCTTGGCTGAGTTTATTAATAAACTGATCCTCTAAAGATGCTGGTGATGTACTACTGCACCTAGCATATTCTGCGAATATAATTCACATGAACTAATGAGGCAGTAACGTCTTACTGCGAGACGCCAAAAGAAAATATAGATGACATTTACATGCTATCTAAGCCACCCACGTGATTCGAAAAAAAAGATACAATTCAGTCTATGCGAGTATATGATTTCGCTTGATAATTCTCCTACCTTTAGCACTTTTAGCAGGCGGTTACTGAAAAGATAATAGGGTTCATCATTGGGAAGGTTTTTCTTTCATATCCTCCGTCATAGTAGTAATATAGTCAACGACCAAAATTATGCGGACATTTTAAAATCAAAAAAAATTATATACACATAATATAATAAAAATAAAATTT